AATACTCTCATGTCCGATGTGGATTTACCCTCAAACAGCCTCCTCCAATCAAAATTCTCCAGTTCCTGGAGATCATAGAATCATAGAATCCCTACAGTATGAAAACAGGCCCTTTGGCCCAACAAGTCCACACTGACCCCCAGAGCATCCCATCCAGACTCACTCACCTAATCTATACATCCCTGAACACTATGGGCAAGTTAGTATGACCAATTCACCTAGCCTGCACATCTTTGGACTTGTGGAAAGAAACCGGAGCACCCAGAGGAAGCCCACGCAGACAGAGGGAGAATGTGCAAACTCCACACAGATAGTCGCCCAAGGGTGGAATCAATCCCAGGTCCCTGGCGCTGTGAGACAGCAGTGCTAACCACTGAGCCACCGTGCCGCCTTGTTGTAGTTCACCTTCACCCGAGGACTGCTGTTATCACTATCCATGGAGTATCTTAAAACTCTCACTACTCCCACTATGGTCACTACTCCCAAAATACCTCCCCACTGAAATTTCACTCACCTAGCTGAGGTCGTTTCCCAAAACCAGGTCCAGTATAACCCCTTCCCTGGTTGGGCTGTTTACACTGTGTCAAGAAATGGTCCTTACAAATTCTGTCTCATCCAAGCCCCTAGCACATAGCGAGTCCCAGTCAATATAGGGGAAGTTAAAAATCACCCACAACAACCCTGCTCTTATATTTTTCCAAAATCTACCTACATATTCTCTCCTATATCTTCTGCTGGTTGTTGGGAAGCATGTAGTATACCCCCAGCATTGTGATTTCACCTTTCCGATTCCAGAGTTCTACCCATACTGCCTTGCTGCACGAGTCCCATCAGTGCAGCTGTGAGATACTCCTTAACCAGTAATGCAACCTCATCTCTTTTTTTTTAAACCTATGTCGTTAGTACCGATGTGTACCACAACCACTGGGTGTTCACCCTCCCACTCCAGAATGCCTTGCAACTGCTTTGAGACATCCAGGACCCCAGCAACAGGGAGGCAACACATCCTTGACTCTTGTTTGCGGCTACAGAAATGCCAATCTCTTCCCCTTATGACTGAATCCCCTACAAGTACAGAATTTCTAAGCCTATTTCTCCCTCCATCTGCAGCAGAGCCAACGATGATACCATGAATTTGGCTGCTGCTGTCATTGCCTAACAGCCCATGCCCCTCAACGGTATCCAAAATAATATACCTTATATACAATATAATATACCAAGGAAATAGCCACGGAGATTCCTGCACTGCTAGCTTAGCCCTCCTGCTCTGCCTAGTGGTTACCCATTTCCTTCCTGCCTGTGAAATCTGAATCTGAAGTATGATCACCTTTCTATACATGCTATCCACGATAGTCTCTGCCTAGCAAATGCTCCACAGTGTCCTTAATAAAGGCAAGTATACCATGAGAAACAAAATAAAACCTAAGAAATGTGGATGCTGGAAATCAGAAACAAAAACAGAAATTGCTGGAAAACATCTGTGGATAGAAAGCAGATTTAGCATTTTGGGTCCAGTGACCCTTCTTCAGAAGTGATTGCGGCTGGGTTAAGATTGGTATCTTTGCTAATGAAAGGGAGGGGGAGGTGTGAAGAGTAAACAATAGGTAGAGATGGAGCCTAGAGAGACAGGAAAAAGGTTGGGCAAACAAAACAATGAGTAAAGGTCACCTTGAGAGAATGAATGGCTGCTAATGAGGCCCATTAATGGCTGACAATGTGTTGTTTATGGTAGCAGCCCATGTGATGCCAAGGCCTGATGTGTGGGTTGGGTTAAGGACACAGGTACAGGAGCTCAAGCCCTAAGATTGTTGAATTCGATATTAAGTCCAGAAGGCTGCAAGGTTCCCAAACAGAAAATGAGCTGCTGTCTTCCAGCTTGCATGGAGCTGCACTGGATCACTGCAGCAAGTCTCAGACAAAGATGTTGGCCAGGGAACAAATGGTCTGTTGAAATGGCAGGCAACTGGAAGTTCAGGATTATTTTTGCAGACAGAATGTAGATGTTCTGCAAAGCAGTTGCCCAGTTCTGCCCTTAGTCTCCCCAAAGTAGAGCAGACCATATTGCGAGCAGCGAATACAGTAGACTAGATTGACTAAAGTGAAGGCAAATCACTGCTTCACCTGGAAGATGTGTCTGGGGCTTTGGACAGTGAAGAGAGGGGAAGTCAGTGGGCAGACGTAACACATTCTGTGATTGCATGGGAAGGTGCTGTAAGGGTATGGGGAGATGTTGGGAGTGGAGGAGAAGTAGTCCAGAGAGTGTTCCAGAGGGAATGGTACTTGTGGAAGGTTGATAAGATAGGGGAGCAAAGTGTGTCCGGTAGCAGCATCCCATTGGAGATGACAGAAATGGCAGCTAATGATCCTTTGGATGTGGATACTGGTGAGATGGTAGGTGAGGATGAGGGGACCATATTGCTGTTGTGGGTCAGAAGAGAAGGGGTGAGGGCCAAAGTGCAGGAGGTGAGTTGGATATTTCTGAGGGCCCTGTCAAACACAGTGACGGGGAATCCTAGGTTGAGGAAGGAGGTCGACATTTTGGAGGTCCCCTTGTCAAGGTTGGCATAATTAGAACAGATGCAATAGAGGCTGAGGAACTGGGAGAAAGGAGTAGAGTCTTTACAGGAAGCAGGATACAAGGATGTAAAGTCAAGGTAACTGTGGGAGTCAGTGGGTTTGTAGTGGATATTGGGTGGCCAGCCTATTCCCAGAAATGGAAACAGAGATGTCAAGGAAGGGAAGGCAGGAGTCAGAGATGGACTAGGTGAAAGTGACAGCAGGGTAGAAATTGGAAGCAAAATTGATAAAAACTTTTCCAATTCTGGATGAGAGAGGGAAGCAGCATCGATGATGTCGTCCATTTACCAGAGAAACAGTTGTGGATGGGGACCAGAGTAGGACTGGAACAAAGAATGTGTGGTACATGGAACAAAGTGATAGGCATGACTGGGGCCCTATGCAGATACCCATGGCTACCCCTTTGACCTGAAAAAAGTGGGAGGAGTTAAACCACAAGTTGTTCAAAGTGAGGATAAGCCCAGGCAGGCAGAGTATACCATTTGGCTTCTTAACTATTTTATCCAGTTGTCCTGATTCCTTAAGGGACCGGTGTACATGCACACCAAGGTTCCTCTGATCCTCAGAGCTTCCCCCAGGGTCCTACTGCTTATTATATACTCCTTTGCCATGTTTGTCCTGCCCAAGAGCATCACTTCATACTTATTCAAATTGAATTCTATTAGCCACTGATCAGCTCATCTAAACAGCCTGTCTATATCACCTTGTAGTATCAGGTTACCCTTTTTACAATCCCACCTTTTTCAGATTGCCTGCAAACTGAGTGATCAATCCTCCTACATCCAAATCTAAATCATTTATATAAACTACAAACTGTAAGGACTCAACACTAACCTTCCAGTTGGAAAAATATCCAAAAACCATCTCCCTCCACTGCCTGCTACTCTGCCAATTGCGGATCCAAATTTCCTGCGATTCCACAGGAGGGATTCAAGATGGTACCAACACCTGGTAACTCCTTGAGAGCTCCCTACAGCAGATCTAACTCTAACATTTCTTATAACCATTTACCCTATGACCTGTATGTCCTTGCTTACTATGATCTGCCTGTACTGCTTGCAAACAAAGCTTTTCACTGTATTAGGTACATGTGACAATAAAACGAATCAAATTCAGTCTCTGGTTAAGTTGCAGATGGAATTGTAGGTATTGATCACAGCATGCTCAGTCTCTGCATCACTTAATTTCTGACATGAGACTTCTTTCTGAAATTGGTCTTTGCCCCTACTTCACTGTATGCAAGAGGCCTAATACTTGTTTCCGGTGCCACAGAAACATTTGGTACATCATGTTAACTGACAACGTTCAAAGCATCTCAGGTGCTGCAGGCCCAGGGATTCAGCCTTCAAAATTAAATGCTGTCTCCAAGGATTTTATTTGACAAGGTGGCAAAATTAGGTCCATGTTCAATTTTACGCTTCAAATGACTAAAGCTCACTTGCTTCTCAGGAAGGAATGCATTCAAACCTAAAACACTATACCAATCTGAAAAGGTGTGGGTAGTGCAGCAAGATAAAACTTCCACATCTTTAAACAGATTTCTTCAAATTCTGGAAATGTTGAAATCATTTCACTTTGCTGAATGCTTACAAATAAAGGTCACATTTATCCAACCGTATTTCTCTTACTTAAAACTGTGTGCAATTCCACAAAAAAGTAGCTTGAAACGTCGGTCCAGATCTGAATCACATGATGTAGCAACACATGACTTGTTCATATCACTTTTTTGCCGAGGAGAGAACTGCGCCCTTGTTTGGCTTTAGACAGCTGGAAGTAATAAAACTGCTCATGATCGTAGCGATTGAGGATGCTTTACACAACAGAACACGTAACGAGAAAGACATAGAAACCGTCATGTTAGTGGAACATGAAGTATACATTAATGCACTGGAACAAATACAAAACTTCACATTTGCAAGTCCACATTACGTACACCTTCTCGAAGTTTAGATCGATTAACCTAACTATAATGTTAGGGAGTTGTTTAGATGGTCCCATAATCTTAATTTTATCCTAATTTTAAATCCACCAGAGAAGACTGTCCTCTGCGCTCATCATTATCTGCAAACAGATGCTGCTGATTCATTTCTGTTCGTCTTTGGAAGAATGAGTGCCGCGACAATCATCTCTTCAAACGGTTAAGGCAAATTGACTTTTAACTAACTAATAACTGCAATGTAATTATTTATAATGCCACAATTTCCAAGTGAAATTACGGTCCATGCATACGTGTCGGTCAAGCAATAGTGTAACAATAATTGTCTGATGCTGCTTTTAAATGCATGCATTAACATTCAGAATAGATGTCTGTGCAGTTGCAAGATCATTCTGCAGGCATACACGAGATTGTTTCTTAGCAACTATTGCTCTTAGTTTCTTCATTCGAAACGACAGGCTGTTGGGAATGACTAACAAAATCTTACCCGCTATGTCCCATAACTGCAATCGAACTACAGTCTCTGAGTCCCAGTGGAGTACTTTGAGAGCGAAATCTACGCCAATCGTAGCTCGGTAATGTTGAGAAAAGTTTTGGTGCACGTAACGCTTGATAATACTGGTCTTTCCTACACCCAGATCGCCGATGACTAATATTTTATAGAGGTGCTCGGTCTGGCTCTTCTGCATTTTCGAAGTTGCTGGTTCATAACCTGTCCTGTATTCTCCTTTCAATGAGACGATTGCAGCTGTGCCTGGCCAGCAACGCCCCTCGCCCAGGCTGACAGCACGATGGGGAATGTTCGGTCAGAGTGTGAATACGTGCAGCCCCACTGCCAACTCTCCTACTGTCAGGGCCCCGACCGCATCAGCACTCGGTTATGTAACTGCTAAGAATGTGAACACACAATAGTGGTATAAGATAATTTTACTGCACTCAGGCCTTTCCCTCTTACTTTTCGATACCTCAAGATGGATTTTTACACGCCCCCAGCAGTCAGAAAATCTAATGGTTATGGCCCAAAGTATGTGACTTAATAAATTTGTTACAAAGTGGCAGAGCAAGCAACGTCTTTAAGATAAAGGAACGTAGGACAATGAGAATGTTGGGTTTGGGAAAGACTCTTCAGTCCATGGACAGTTCTGAAAAATTCTTGTGCATCTACTGTTGACTCCTTGAAAGGCCTTTCCAAATCGTCTTAAATACTTCTGACAATTTCAATCTTCAATGCCTTACTGCATGGTCTGCCCCATTAGGCCACCATCTAATACATAGATATAAATTTAAAACAGAACATTCAATCAAATTGGTGAATATTTCTATGTTTACTTCTAATGAATTTCCTCCTTCCTGGCTTAAATTCACTTCTTAAGTCCCTTATGTATTTTTACTTGCTTGCCCTGAAGTGCAATAATGTGATTCTATCAATTACTCCTTGGTGATTGTAAATTACACATTCTAATTAAAAATTGCTAAAAAGAGACAAGATATCCAAGATTTTTGTCTTACAGTGCGGATGTAGGAAACGGAGGCTTGCAAGCATGAACTGGTTCAGCACAATCAGCATGCTGCCAATGCTCAATGGGAGGTATTTCACTCCACCATTCTTCGGCATGCAAGGCATTACACAAGCCTGAAGCTTCTGTCACATTACTCATGGTGGTAGACAAAGCCATTTGGCTTAACAGCAGCATCCTTTAGGTGGAGAATACAACCTGCGAGTTACTGCAACGTAGTACGAGACAGCTAGCTTCAGCTTTCAAGTTTTGAGGAACACCTTTCCCTTCCATGGTAATCTGAGGTAGGCTCTCCTATTCTGGAACAGAATTGGTAGCTATACTGTATGTCCTTTATTGAGTTTTTGTAAATATAGCATATGAAGATGTAATAATGCAGGATAGTTTATATATGTTCTAATTCAGCATATAAACAAGGAACAAGAGTAGACCACTCAGCCCTTTGAGCCTGTTCTGCTATTCAATAAGATTGTGGTTGATCTGACTTTAACCTCAACTCTACATTCCAGCATATCTCCAATAATGTTACATCTTCTTGGTAAGGCAGATAGATTCTTGATTAAAAATGTGAAGAGATTCTGCATCCACTCCTGAGGATGGGAATTCCAAAGACTCATGAGCTGCAGAAAAATAAAAAATTTCCTCATCTATCTCAAATGGGTGACCCCTTGTTTTGAAACCATGATCGAGTTTGGATTCTCTCACCAGAGGAAACATCCATTTGACATTCACCCAGTCAAGTCCCCTCAAAATTTTATATGTTTCATTGTCAACTCTGACTTTTCTAAACTCCGGAGGATACAGACCTGACCTTTCAGTATAAGGTAGCCTCCTTATTCTAGATGTTAATCTACTAAATCTTTTTAATAATGGCTAGAGATTCTGGAAATAATAAAAACAATTTCTGTAGCCACTTCTTCAAATGATTTTGCAGAAAGCCTATGCAAATGTGGTGCTTTGGTTTCAGAAATCCAAAACACTTGTTTGAGTTAGCTATGTGTTCTCATACCAATATTAGAGCAGAATATCAGTTGAAATTCTACAAAAATTCATTTGTGATTACTTCTATACATATTTAGTCTAATTATACAGCTCAGCTTGAAGAGTTCATTTACTTTTTGGATATATAATATTAAGCCCAGAATTACACCTTTGTCAGAGGCACCTTTTCACAAGGAACATGTATTTATTTCTTAATGGTATGTATCACTTTAAGTACCTGTATTAAAATCCATTCTAAAATGTATGCAAATGGTTTCTTAGACAAAATTATTTACTTTTTCTAAGCTGAAATAATGCTGAAAGTTGTTGTATAAATACAAATATTCTATTTGATGTGATCAATTTGCTTAGAACATCACATAGGTGCCCTTTGATCTTGTCCTTAAGATAAGCATGAATAAAGAATATTCAGCGAGGACCAAAAACTGCAACAGCTGCTAGGAGCTAAAGTGAGTTAGATTATTAACAGATCAAAAACAGTTACATTGAGTCTAATTTATAGTAAGCTAACTGAGCCAAGTTTCTGGCAAAGTTGGGCAATGGGGCAGCTGTCAGGATTATGGATGGGCTCACCCCTAAATTGAAGTTGTGGGTGAGGATGAGTAGAGACCATGACCCTAGAAATGGCCTCAAAGTCCCAGCCTTGAAGTATGCTACATTATTTTTACTGAATACATAAAGATGCAGTTGTTTAAGATTAGGCCTGTCAATTGACACTGCATTTTTGACAACTACTGGCAAAGACTGTTGGTGGATGGCCCAGACAGAACATCTGATGAATGTACTCTGTACTTCACTAATGAGCTGTAGAGATCCAGACTATCTTTCATCGTAATGCACTTTTATACCTCATTGCCATTTTAAAAAAAATCTTATTTACTGTAGCCCTCTGTATCCCTTATTTGATGGCATATGCATTTATTGTGTAAGTTTTCACTATTTCATATCGCTGAATATGGTAGCTTACAGCAGGAGAGTCCCAAACTAGAGGACATAGGTTTAAAAGGGGAGAAGAGAAAGATTTAAAAGGGTCCTGAGGGGCAACTTTTTCTCAGAGTGGTGTATATATTGCAATGGACTGCCAGAGGGCCAGAGGAAGTGGTAGAGATTGGTACAATTACAACATTTAAAAGAGATTTGAACATGTCCATGGATAGGAAAGGTTTAGAGGGATACGGGCCAAAAGCAGACAGACGGGACGAGTTTAGTTTGGGAAACCTGGTCGGCGTGGACAAATTGAACCATAGGGTCTGTTTCCATGTTGTATACCTCTATGACTCTAATTCACTAATGGGAGGAGAGGATGTAATGTAATGGTATTGTCATTGGATTAGGCTACTAGTCAAGAGTCCTGTGCTAATGTTCTGGGATTAAGGGTTCAAATCTCAGCATGGCAGACAGTGCTTTTTGAATTAAATGAAATATGGAATTAAAAAATTGTATAATGATGACCATTATCAGAAAACCCCAGCTAGTTCCCTAAGGTCCTTTAGGCAAGGAAAACTATTGCTCTTACTAAGTCTGACTACATGTGAGTCCAGACACACAGCTATATGGTTGACTTTTAACCACCATCTGAAATGGCATAGCAAGTCACTCAGTTGTAGCAAATCACTGGAAAGGAAAAAAGGAATGAAACCAGAATGACCACCAGGCATCAACCTAGGCACCAGAAACAATAATGGAAAACTCAGACCTCTTGAACATGCAAAGCCCTCCTTACTCACATTTTGCATGTATCTATATTAAAATCCCTTCTGAAATGTACGAATGGCCTAGTGCTAAAATTGGGAGAGTGGTCCCACAGACTGATCAAGCAACAGCCTGACAAATCCTATTCATTGAATCATTTCAATGTTCCAGACAACACTATCATTATCCCTGGGTATCTCGTACCCCATTGACAAGACAGACCTAACAGAGGTGGCAGCACAGTGATATACAGTCACAAGGGAGTTGCCCTGGGAGTTCAAAATTAACTGTGGACCCCATGAAGTCTTATGGGCAAGGAAACATTTTGCTCATAACCACATACATTCTCCCTCATTGGCTGATGACTTTGTCTTCCTTCATGTTGATCCCTTGGAATAAGCATTCAGGGTCACAAAGTTGCAGAATGTACTCTAGATGGAATACTTCAATGTCAACGTCAATCAAAAAAAACAATGACTTGGTAGCACTACTATGGACTAAAATAGCCAAATCCTTATGGATATGGCTGCTAAACTAGGTCAGCAACAGATAGCGAGGGAATCAACAAGAGGGCAAAACTTGCTTGACCTCATCCTCACTAAGCCACCTTTTACAAATGTATCTATTCATGACAGTATGTGTAGAAGTGAGCAATGCACAGATTTCACAGAGATGAAGACTCATCTTCATATTGAGGATACCCTTCATTGGGATGTTTGGCTCTACCATTATGTTTAAAAGGATGGAATTCAAACAAACAAAGCACTCAAGGAGGCCATCCGTGAGACATTGCATGCAATAGGCATCAGCAGAATTGTATTCACCAAAAATCTGTAACTTCATGATCTGGCATATTTCTCACTCTATAAATAAGTTAGGAAATCAATCCTGATCCAATGAAGGGTGCAGGACGACATTCCAGGAGCAGCACCAGACAACCTAAAAAATGAGATGTCACTCTGGTGGAGCTATAACACAGGATGACTTGCATTGCCAAACAGTGGAAGCAGCATATAATAAACAGGGCTAAGCAATTTTGAGATCAGATCTAAGCTTTGTAATCCTGCCACATTTGGTCATGAACAGTGGTAAACAGTTAGACAACTAAACAGGAGAAGAAAGCTCGATAAATATCCCTATCCACAATGATGGGAGAGCCCAGCACAGTATTAAAGACACTGAAGCATTCACATGCATTTACAGCCAGAAGTGCCAAATGAGTAATACACCTTGGCATCCTGCTGTGGTCCCCAGCCACACACATGCTAAACTTCAGCCAATTCAATTCACTCCATTTAATATCAAGTGAATGAAGGCACTGGACTGTGAAAACATTCCAGCATTATTCCTGAAGACGGGTATCCCAGGACTAACTGTGTCCCCAGTCAAAGTGTTCCAGTACAGCTACAACACAGGCATTTACCCCAGAATGTGGAACATTGCTGAGTTATGTCCTGCGCACAAAACACAGAACAAATCCTCCCTTCCAATTCACAGAAAGGGCCATCTGCAGCCCTGTCAACTTGCAAACAAATAACTTGTTCACTGACACACAGTTTGGGTCCCTTGAGGGTCATTGACCTCTTGATGTTATTACAGATGAAATCCAGAGGTGAAGAGAGATGATTGCCATTGACATGGAGGCAACTTCAAGGATCCCTATCAAAACCAGAGTCGA